TTGAACACTAGTGGAAGGTGCTACTCTATTCAGCGTGTTCGCTAACTTAACCCGTCCTCATTACCATCTGTATTATGCGTGTGAACTTAGATTTATGAGGAAAAATTCAATAATCACTCGGAACTCGAAAATGCGATCTGCAACGTCTCTGACTCGCAGCCACACAGTTGTGGCTATCTAGCTGAAAATCTGCTGCATCATTTGGCTTATGTTGCGGATCGTAAAGTTGAACATATGCCAGATTGAGAGAGATTGAAACCAATGTATGAGTTTTCGAAAAGAAGGCAAAATTTCGATCAAGATTTTCCTCAACCAAACACCATTACCGGCTGAGTTTCGGCGAGGCCACTTTCCATGAACATGTATTTTATAGCAAGTTTTTTTTTGTCTTGAATCAATCAATTCTTCGTTAGTCGTGCCCTTATGCATTAGATCAAGTGTGTAGCCCAAAACTGCTGCGGGACGTCAACACCTTGAAAGCTAAAATTTCTTAGACCTTCGGATGTCCTATGTCGTACCACGCCTCTGTGATAATGTGAATCTGCACTGCAAGTGTTTTCGTTGCTGGAAGCTAACACTGGCGTAGTGTAGCACGTAGGTCACATGAAAGTTTGTGCTACACCCCTTATCATTTTGTGTTAGATATCCATTTTCTTTTTCCAACAATTTCGACAGCAACAGCAATTTCTCTCAGTGTGGTAAGAGATTACCGGCCAATATGCCCTTCTGGATTTGATGACAGATTTGCGGAATGCCGCGTGTTGTTGTCACCTCAAAAGCCTTTTCTCATTATGCACATCACATTGCTCTTTTCCCTTCATCATTCAAAAAGAAGTATGCATAACTTTTGCGGCCATTTATGAAGGGTTTCTCTTAGGACGCTCTTCTCGTCGCATCTCGTCGTCTTGAATCCGAATCAGACCTTGTTGACGTAGCTGCCGGAGGCGATTCGCCATCGACCGAGTCGCCTAGTCAGATGCAAGATGGTGCACCAGCTTTACCAGCGACGTCTTCTCAGGCCAGGTATACTTATCGTAATGAGATTACCTGATATGGACTCCTGATTAGGTGCACATGGAAGTCATATATTGATTACGCACGCAAAAATTCGTACAGGTAAAGTCACGGTCGCATAAGGGGCGAGCCTGTAAAATGCAAAGGAAATCAGGCTGAATTAAACTAGCATAGAAAGGCTTCATTTTCTTGAATAAGTGAATTGTTTAGTATTTCTTTTCGTTTAATCGATCCATCCTGTTAACTTGGTGCTGTTAACAATAGCCGCTTGTTTTTGCCAGGAAATGGCGGACGGGTCGACGTATAAATTTTGTATGTCTCATTTGAACGCTAAAAAAACCCTATTGTCCATTATATAATTACCAGTTGGCGCCGCACGCATTGCGCGCGCAACACAGATCTGCGGCGAATTTTGATGGTGCGACGAAAATTTTTCAAATTTGGCTTGATACACCACGAATATCTGAATTCTCAGCTAAATTCTATCCGCTCCATCATCGACGGCTTTCAACCTCTTTTTCTTCGTCAACCATTATCCTCTTTTTCCGGTCTCCGGACTGCTTCCGGACAATAAATCTCGTGGCAAACTCCGCCTACTTCGGTGCGTGCTCCGCCCACCAATAGCATTTGGCCCCCTTCCTTTCGCCGACCTCTACCCCTTTTTTCACCGGTCTCTGGGACCTCTTGGAAGCAGCTGATCTCTTTTCCCTCGCCAACCTCTAACCCCGTTTTCCCTATCTCTAGGACTTCTTGGAGCCGAGTTCTGAATTTTCGTCGCAAACTCCGCCCACTTTGGTCAAACCCCGCTCACCGGTGATAGCTGGGCTCCACTCCTCCACCCACCTCCATCCACCTTTTTCCCTGCCTCCGGGACTTCTTGGAGCCGAATTACAATTTCGGCGCAAACTCCGCCCATATTAGCGCACGCTCCACCCAACCGTAGCAGTTAACTTCTCTTTCTTTGCTGACCTATATCCACTTTTTTCCCGTTCTCCAGGACTTCTTGGAACCAAGTTATGAATTTTCGTGATAACTCCGCCACTTTGAACATGCTCCGCCCACTAATGGTATTTAAGCTCCACTCCTCCACCCACCTCTACCCACCTTTTTCCGTGCCTCCGGGACTTCTTGGAGCCGAGTTATGAATTTTCGTCGCAAACTCCGCCCACTTTGGCCAAGCCCCGCCCACCGATGGAGGGCTGGCCTCCACTCCTCCAAACACCTCCATCCACCTTATTTTCCGGCCTTCCGGGATCTTTGGTTCGGGAGCCGAGCTATGAGTTTTCGTCGCAAAACTCCGCCCACTTCGGCCAAGCCCCGCCCACCGGTAACAGCTGGGCTCCAATACTCCACCCACCTCCACCTACCTTTTTTCGGGCCTCCGGGACTTCTTGAAGCCGAGTTATGAATTTTCGTCGCAAACTCCGCCCACTTTGGTCAAGCCCCGCCCACCGATGACAGCTGGGCTCCACTCCTCTACCCACTTCAATCCACCTTTTCCCGGCTCTTTAAGACTTCCCCGGCCGAATTATGAGGACTTGTAGAAAATGCTGTACACTTCAGAGCGCGCCCCGCCCATTCTGGGCGGGCCTCCGCCCACGTCATGTATGCAGGAAACACCTTAGACATTGCTCCCTTACACCAAATTGTTTTCTGCTCTGTAGGCTTTCTCCCAACCGAGTTATGAAATTTTTCATAAAGCACTGCTTTTTTAGAGAACGCCCGCCCACCGGGGGTGGGTCTCCCTAATTCGATGTGACTTACCAATGCACACCTTTACCCACTTTTTGGCCCAGTTTCGAGGTCGTTTTGTCACTGAAATCGAAATCTTGGTCTTCGGTACAGTTCATTTCGACGCACGCCACGCCCTCTGTGGGCGGGGCTCCGCTTAGCTGATGTGTGTTTTGTATTTCGTGAGACCTTGCCCACCCATCCACACTTGACCCGGTCCCTCCAGGCGGATCCCGAGGAGCTAGGGAATTTCGTGACAGACATACAGACAGACGACAGACGAAGCGCTTTATAGTTAGTAGGATGATCCATGTACTGTCAGTGTCATGCGACGGATCTTCGCCGGCTTGGTCAACTTCTGTAGCAGGATGGATGGTGGCTAGAGAAGGCAACACCGGGATAGGAAGATTACCTGGACCAAGTTGTTGGCCTGGTGGGTCCATGATCAAAGGATACGAAGGACCAAAGTGTTTTTCGGGTTGATTTCGTCTTGGGATGCCGTTCACGGCATTCTCTTTCATCTGTTCATTTCTAACAAGCCGCTGACATGCGCAACTTGTCGGCCCATACCTTGCTGCTTGCGGGGGTCGCAGCGGCGGGGACAAGCAGTGAGATGATCGCTTCCAGCAAGTCTGTGTAATACGTTATCCGACTCCGGAAGGATGACAGGTATTATGTATGACAATGCGACCGTGATCGACAACCTAGGAAGCGATAACCGGACCGCACACGCGCGGAAGCGTGACCACGTTGGAAGACATATCCCACTTCCTCGTCCCAGCCACGGGGCGTCCACTTGAACTATCCAATGGATTGAGAGTGTTAGGTTCTCGAAGTTTTGTCGTCAAAGGAGCCAACTGTACGGCTGATTATCGAGGCTCAGGATTTTGCGTCCAGAGTTGTTTTGCGCCTTTTCTGAATTTTAGTTTCGAGGGGTTCGGGAAGGTCTTCAAAGTTTTTCTAGCAGAGATTTATTTCCCATACATGATAAATCTTTTAACTTGAAAACTAGCTCAGCTACTTGCAGTGGATGGGTGAGTCATCCGAAGACGACGATGTGTCGGAACAGTCGGGTCGTCCGGACGAGGTTGAGTTTCTTGCGAATGATACCGAACCACGCGCATAATACTACCGTTCTCGTGCGCTTTATGGGTGAACTCTTTCAAAACCCAAACACAAGTGTAGTCGCCGGGAGCTCTTCTGTGGGTGTCAACTTCAGCACGGTTCATATATCCATTGTGAAAAGTTGCAAATATGTTCTAGTCTTCGATATTGTCTTCTTTCTATGCGATCCAGTTAACAAATGCACTGTTTATTGTAAGTCTCTGCCACCTGGTTTCGGTTTATGACATCTTTGCGTTGCTCAACGTTTCATGAACTTGTGCTTACTGTTTACTGCTTGATATCTTTTCGAGTACGCATTTTTGTCTCTTAGATAAATCTATCATAAATTATTTTTTCTACAGGTAAATTAATCAGAATACTTGCTAACGACGTTTGTAGTCGATATTTCTGAGGTTTTCTTTGTTAAGTGGGTCTACGTCAACTCTCCTTTTTTAAATTAAAAGCCTTTATCCTTCTCCACCTACTCCGAGGGGTCCGGTTCTCAATTGAAAGGACAACTCAGTCTGTTAAAGCTAATAGCAATATACTAATTTTTTCATTCACCGCTCTTTGTTGGCTTTTTTAGTAATAGGTTATACCAATCTGCGATCAATGTTGCCTCATAAAACACGACTTTCTGAAGGAGGGTCTCTTGGTATGCGAAAACTCGATGGAATGCCGAGTATTAGGTGGTGAAGTATTGCAACTCTCGGAAGCGGGGTGAATATAGGTCGAGGAAATTCTCGATATGTGGGGTCGTGTTTGTCACGGTGGGTGGCAAGGTGTCGTTATTGTAGGGTTCTAACGAGCACATCAGTGGCTTCATGGTGCAGATAGGGGGAGGGTGTAGCGCAGCAGAAAACGAGGATATGTGAGGAAACATGATAAAATATATTCTTTGCAGGTTCAGTCGCTCCATTCCTCTAGCTTTATGAGAAGGACGTATTTGAAAGCAGTACAATAAATGATGGAAGATATGGCAAAGCCCTGGGCAAATGTGAATGTGCTATGTTCCTTTACTTAGGATGTAAACGTTACGAAATGTGCTTACTACAATGCATTTCATTCAACAGGTTACAATCACATGACACCTTTCAATTGATTCTGCAATTATGAGTGGAGGTCGGATGCATGGCCTATACCAAGACGAAATCGGACGATTCTTGTTGCTTAAGTTTGGAAGAATGTATTCTAGACACATTTCGAGCGTTGCCAACGAATTACACTTGCAATGGTGAAGAAGGAAGCGACTTTTTGATTGGTTAAAAATCGTTCGCGATATCTTCAAATAAATATCCATCGTTTAAATCATTGTAAATATTTCCTCGACTAGGAAGTTTTAAAATAAGCTGGGTAGAATATTTGAGAGCACAATTTCTGCCTTTGTAGCTATCTTCCTCTTTTCCAGTGCTTACGGAATTAGAAAAATATTGCTTCTTGAGTAGTAAAAACTCGCAGCATACTCAACGCTGACTCGACGCTGTTCGAGAAGACATTGTCTTTCCCAGTGGAATGCCCTCAGAACAATTTCAATATTGCGTGGTGACAGGAAACCTAGCTCTATCTTAGTCTACTACAACCTGTTCGAAAGGTTAGAAATGGAAGAAGCTTTTCAAAGGAGTGTAGATTTCGAAGAGGGTAAAGATGATCTGACCCACAGATAAACCGCGCTGCAACTGCATTGTTTGAAGTGCATATAGTAAATCTCGTTTGTTCACATCAAGTCAAGTTAGGGGAGGGGCGTATCAAGACCGTGATTTTAGGGGAGGTCGTACTGTCACGACCAAGCTCTCGACACGATTTTCACCCTGCTCGGAAGCCCATTTGGATCGAACAACACTTACGAACACCTCATTCAATAGTACATTTACAAATCGGTAATGTGAGCGAATGTGGGGCTGAAAGGAAGCGGTCACGCTGGCTTCCACGTGGATCGCCGAACTCCGCGTTATCAACCGATAAGGTCGGAGATAGATAGTGTTGGACGAGCTAACCCTATGGAAGATACGATACGATTAGATAAGAAGATACGCTGCTTGAATGAGGTGCACTCCAGCATGAAAATCGAACGATAACGATAACCGTATCATATCTAGCACGCTGCTACTGCATCCCTTCCACGTCTGATGAGGAGGTGCAACGCCGAACCGGAAGTGGGTTTCGGCGCCTTATCACGCCGTTGATAAGGCGCCACTGCCCCTGAAGCGTCACCTGTCGTCCCATTGGGTAGGACCCCTACCCAATCCACTATGTCACTTTCCCTATCGTCTCCATAGGAATTTCCGTGACCACTTCCTTAACTGCTTTAGCCACAGTTTGCAAGTTAAAACTTAGGTCGAACCCCGCGAAAACTACATTTTGGGAAAATGGGAACATGACACATTGCGACAGAGTAATCAACTTCGGGTGCTCCACCACCTTTGAAGGTAAGAAATACGTGATGGCTCAGAAAAAGAGAGTACTATAAATGCCACCAAGTGTTCTACAAAGTGGCACAGAAGCCTGGTATCAATTTTTTTTGCAGTGCCATTTCGTTCATTCTATTCAAACCAAACGAAGTGTGTGAGGAACGTGTATGTCTGCATTTACATTTTACGGGAGAAAACAAGCGAAAAGGATTGCTGAAAGTAGTAGATGACGAAGCCCGGCGAACCTTTCGCAGATCAGAAATGGCGAAGGAATTGGTCATGGTGCAAATTCGTTCAAGGTACCATTTTTTGTAATGAAGTTAGCACTTTTATGAGGAAGTGTCAGAGAAGGTCAGGCTTGGAACATGCATAATAGTTGCCGTTGTAGATTTGTCCACCCAGTGTACAACCCATTTGTGTGGTCTGCCCGAGGGGAGCTGCATCATCACAGGAGTGTCTACAAAACCACTTGTTCCATCAATGGGATGTCGGCTAGACGACAAGACCACTCTATGTAAGTTTTTACAGAGCATGAATAAACCACGCTAATCAACTACTTTGGTTGGGACACGGATCTAAATCCATAAAGAGGACGAGGTGATAGCACACAAATCAGGAACTTCCCAGCGGAAAATCTTGGAGGTGATTTGAATTCAAGTCGAACTTTCTGGAACGAGGGATGAATGCCTTATTACAATGTGGGAGTCTTATGATATTGAGTTGTAAGAGAAGTTCTTGCCGTTTCGGACCCGCACGTTCGAATGGGTATATCTCGACTCAGTCACAATGTTTTCGTTCGCAATAAAAACTAGAAAACTAGCAGAATGATGAGTAGCGCCAAACTGGCGCCAAATGGCGCCGACGCCAATAAAGAACGCCATATTCGTGATCAGCACCCCGATTTACCCCTATAGGCAAACTTTCGACGAAAATCGAGATTTTGACCTATCTTCGAAAAGGAGGTGACCAGGGGCCACAGGCAGGGTCAACCCTACGTTGTTACTAGTAACAACGGGGGGGTCGTACCTTGGTTGAGTTTGTAGGAGGGGGGTCGTACCCGTTTCAGTCGCTTGAAATCACATGGAGTTTGAGGTGAAATTGAAGTTTTTATGGGTAGGTAGGTTGGGTGAGTCCCCCCCCCTCCTAGAAAATGAAGTGGTGAGAGTATAGGTAAATATAGGTAAAATCCGGTAAAAGTAGGAGTAAAATGGCGGAGATATAGGGAATTTTTACTGTTTCAGAGTAGCTATATTGGAGAAAAAAGGAAAAAGTGGGCGGAGTTTGGTGGGTTGAGTGGTATCAGAATTAAATACTATAGAGACGATGATGGTGGTGGTCGAGGTGTCGAAAAGGGGGTCGTATCAAATCCACCTTGGGGGAGGGGGGTCGTAAAAATTTTTCAAAAAGTAACAACGATAGGGTTGACCCTGCCACAGGTCGTCATGCATGCCGGCGGGCGAGCGCTGCGCGCACATCAGCGAAACACCCTGATGACACACGGAATTCCAAAGCTCGGTTTCATAGAGAGCGTCTACCACGACGTCCCTGTCCTTGAAATCGCTCCAGGTATGAGATGAGGTCCTACGAGTGGAAGAGCCGAGGACCCAAAATTCCAAGTATTGATGAAGGGAAGAATTTGTCGAATTCAACTCGGGTGCTGTTTCCCATCACCAGCTTGGCTGCCTGCCACTATCTATTCTGTAGTGGAATTTCTTATTATTGGAGGAGGATTACGAGGAAACTCATTTTCCAATCGCTGGCTGGAGTACCCCATGGACTACCGACCAACAACCTGTGGATGGCTAATTTTCGGAACCAACTCGAAGTCTCTCGTTTTTTAAAACTTCTTCTTTGAAGGGGATCCAATGCTCTGTTCGAGAGTATGACATCCGTTTTCCCAGACGGGGCCCCCTTTTTTCAGCTGTACGCCACTTCGGCAACCATTTGGCACCCTTATGGTGTTGCAACTTTTTTCCGCCACATTCCACTTAAACTCTGAGTTGTTAATTGCTGGTGATCCTGATAATATACGTGATACCTAGTTTTTTGCGCTGGTGATATTTTGAGAAAATTCGGAAGCTCCACCGTAAATGCAAAAACTTTGTTCTCAGGGCCGGACATTGTAATCCTTGGAGACCGACTTTCTCCCCACATTTGGCCTTCTCAGGCCGTTCAGTCGGACAAACGACCCTTGGTTTTGGTCCACGCAGTAATTCCTAAACATGCAAAACATCGTTCTGAGAGAGACCGCCTTCCCTGAACGAGCTCCCTTGTGAGCCACACTCCACCTAAATCAGTAAATGTTACCATTAGTGGATTCCGGTTACTTCCCAGGTTGCTTTCGAAATATGCATCCAACCTCCAGAAAAATGGTATTATCATTTCACAGATCTCCGGACTCGTTACAAAGAGGTAATCCATTGCAAAGTGAACACTTTCACACTGTTTGTGTAGATGCTGTGACAGCGAGCGAGGCGGTTGCAGACGGGCTTATTCGTCGGCCCGAACCTCGTTGTTTCCAAAATAATTTAGGAGCGTTATTGCAGAATCGTGGGCTATACACCATTACGCATGAATATAGTACAACCTATAAATTCACCAAGAGCTCGAATTATATGACATTTGAAAAAAGCCGCTTAAAAGAGAATGTGCTAAGTATGGCCACGCATTTGTGCAACCCGAACATTCCAGTATTTGATCGAAAACGCAGAAACAGTTTCTTTCAAATCTTGAAGGGAATTCACTTTAGCTATGTGAATTTATAATGCCATTTCATGTTTTCTTAGAATTTCTTTGGTTTTTTCTGCTCTTCCCGCATGATCAGAAAACATTTTTGAAGTGAAAGTGGAATGTTTTTTTTTTTTAGTTGACATGAATTGTATGTTTAAAGCAGTTTATGTAATCTCAGCATTAAAGGACGAATTTACGATGGAAAAGCAACCCATTCCAAATTGAGGTAGAGATGGTGAGTAGTACCAGAAAGAAAGCGAAACCACGAAAAACGGCCCAGAACCGGAGAAATGGGACCCCTTCCTTGTCCGTTGATTTGAGCATTGATGGGACTCTCATCGCTTTGCCCTCTTCAACCCTACGCTCTCTCAGCTATCTAATCACTCGCCACCTATTGTACTACGGCGAGTGATCAGACGATCGGTGGGCGGAGATCGCCGAACTCGCCAACTTTGAGCCATGCTAGATCTCAGAGGTCAAATCTTTCGATGCCGATTGCGTGTCTGTCCGCACCCTCAAGAGATTCACCGCTCTCCCCACTAGGCGATTTCTCCCTTCTTCGACCTTCGTTCTTTCCGTGCAATCCTCCTTTAAATGAATTGTTGTTTAACATGAATCAAGCAGATGATTTCTCCGTCAAATTTTCTGAGCTTCTGTAATTTGCGCCCACCCATCAAATCGCTGTGGTGGCGGCAATTTCTAATCGTTGAAAAGTTGAACAAGAGTCAGTCCCATCTCTGGTTTTCGAATGCTCGCCAATTTATGGCTTTTCACTCCCCGAAACGTATTTTCTATGTAAGTATTGAGCTTATTCCTATAACGCATGTGATTATGGGAGCTTATGGAGATTATGTCCGTCTCATCAATGCATAAACCTAATGCATGCGTATACTGCAATAGTTTTGCATAATATGCAAGTTATTCTTGGCCCGGCAATGAAGGCGATCATCACGTCGAGATGGCGAACATCACGTTGGCAGCAGTAGTAGCGGTGGTAAGACCCTCCTTCTCCCCTCATCTGACGGAGGTCTCGGTACGACGCTTTCGGGAGAAGGACATATGTATTCCACTACAGAAAGAATTACTATGCGGACCCCGTCGAAGCATGAAGATTTTATGTGGCGGAAGAAGATTGTTATTGGAAATCCTCTGGCCAAGCTTGCATGCATCGATCACATCCTTGATGTTTGTCCTCCGACAGTGATGATCCTACTGCATCAATCCGGCCCGATCTCTTCCTCCCAGCGGGCCAATACGACCCCCCCCCTCTGTCCACTATGTCGAGGATTCCTCAACGCACGTTTAACCCTACCCTCAGGGAACCCTGCCCTCTATCAGGTATGCTCCCTTCTTCAACTTCCATTCTAACATGGGACGAAGAAGGGAACCTCTTTGCTAGCCGTACCCAAATACTCTGAAAAATGCCAAGGTCATCAAATACGACCCCTATACGAACCATTCTGTGCTTACCATGAGCAATTTTTGGCGGTACTGGCACCAACCTAGGGGCCATTTCCTTTTGGCAGCGCAGTACTTTTTTCAAATCCTTGCTACCCGCTTATGAGGTTAGAATTATTAACGCTTACTCCTGCCGGTGTTTCCATCTTCAACTTCCTTCCCTCTACCAAGCCAATACGACTCCCGCCGAGGAATTTTCGACTATCATGTAGACGCACACGGCGTTGTCAAAATATTCTCGGCGGATGACGTCGTTACCTAGCTGTGGGTGCATTTTTGAAACGCTTCCCGGTCTGGCCGATGGGCTGCGTGCATTAATTTTTGGTTCGATTTGGAGCGAATAGCAAGGATGTAGAAAAGATATTGTGTTGCGAAAAAGAAATGGTGGTAGGTCAGGGTGCATGCATTGCGGAGTGAAATTAATAAATAAGGCCCTTTATGAAGGTCGACGTAGTGTTTTCGTTGTGTCTCAGTTTTGGCTTAATCACATCCTTTCAAGAGAATAGCTCTGATAGGTGATTTCTATCACGAATACACGTGGCGATTGTGTCCTTCCTGAGCCAGGGATGTCTTAGGTTGGTTCCCTAGAAAGATGGTGGGGGTTCCTATTCGACCGGGGGTATGAGGAAATTAGCAGTGATTTCTGAAAACGACTCTCTCGGTTAGAAATACTTGGGGATTTTCCCTTTACAATTTTCACTGGTGAACTACAATGAATATTTGCTCGGAAGCCCAGTACTCAACCGGGTATCCTGTCGAGAATGGCTTTGAGGGAAATAACGAAAGACTGACATCACGAAAGGAGCTGGAGGAGATGTTAAATGGACTTGGAACTGATGTTGTTGGGTGGTGAGGCAGGGTCAACCGTCAGGTTCGCACTTTTTGCAACCCCCCCCCATTTAGAGGGGGATTCTCACTACTTTCTTCTAACTATCACCAAATTTTTCGAAAAAAAAAACCAAACGCAACATCTTCATCTTCCTTCAACGACCTCCGTCAATCCTCATTACCCTGTTCTATAATTGCCCCTCTCAACCGCAAAATGCAAACCCCCTCTCCTGAGATCACAAATGCAATCTCCTCGCTCGAATGGTTACCCCTCGGTTTACCCTCGGGGGGGGGGGGACATCCAAGTGAGTGAGCCATTAACACCACTTGCGATTAATCTCAGAGAATCTGGGAGAGGAGATGGGATTCAGTGGGAGGACGTCAGCAAATAGTGTTTTCTTGACACTTCTCTCTCCTGGGCTTACTAGTTCTAGAGTGACCACCATGTTTGAATGTCCTCATCCCTCCCCCGCCCTTTCTCCCCTGCCGTGATCGCGGTGGACCTCTCTTTGAAAGTAAGGGGTGGGGGACAGAGAGAGCAAGACAGTTTTCTCCAGTAGAATGGCATGACCTACCAAATGTCCAACCCCTCCCCCTGACTGGCTTGAAATATTCGATTTCTGCACCGAAGCAAAACAACTGCGATCATGGGAACATTTATCAGCGAAAATATTTCAGTCTACGAAATCACTCTGCCACCACCCATGTACGATGCTCGATTCCAGGTGCTTATGCTATCTGAAAATATCTGTAAAAAACGCTTTGTCTTTTGAAAAACGCGGATATCACTGCCGAACGGGTGCTCACTTTAACTGGTCTTTTGGGGCCTTCTTTCATTTTGAGTTTGTATTCCTTCAGTAATTCACCGCAGTTCTGAAATGAAATCACCTTCTTGAACGGTACAACTACGGTTTTGGGAAATCTCAAGAATTAAACGAACTACGAGGTCTTCTTCTGTCATCTCGCTGATGTAGCCTGGATAGCCGACCCAGCTTATGCTATATATGGTTTGGCCGTTTCTAACGGTGTGAGAGAGTATGTCCTCGACTTCGTATTCTTCTAGAATACCAAAATCAAAGGCGCTGGACTTGACGCATGGAAATCAGCTTGGGAGAGACAAGAGGCTCGAAAAGGATACCTGACTGCCGTTGGACCCTCTTTTTCTTTGACATTATCTCGTTGATCTTCTCACTGGCTCTTAGCGCTGACGCTCTTTGTGGTCTTCTTTCTCGGGTTATTACTTCATCACCACATTTTGCTGTCCTGTTTACCCGTTTCTTCGATTTCGACGTTTCTTAAGCGACATCCCATGATAACACGCTACGAGTGGTGATGGGCGCTCAGTGACATATGCTCTATATCATGAGTTTCAAGTTCAAAAGTAGCACTACGTCTGCGGCTGTTGGCTTAGCGACCTTATTAGAGGAATGGATTGAGTCCTCCCAGTGAAAGGGGTATTTGGGTCCGCATTGGCAAAGGTAGTGCCACTGTCGCGACTTGAATCTTCATTTGTTACCGAGCGGTGCGACCATGTCATCCCCAATATCGCGATTTGTCTGTGGGCGCTATCGCAATATACGGGGGCATTGTGGTGGCAATGGACACAGAACCACTTGAGACAACATCTTTTTCTTAGTAATGGGCTGAGCCTTAAGCAAAGGAGGAAAAACACCAAGGTGCAAGAGCACTTTTCGCTGTCCTTCCTCGGAGTTCCCAACTCCCCCACCCCCTAGGCTAAGTCCTGGAGGATGCCCGGCTTCTTGCGATAGCGCCTGTGACTGTTCTTCTGTTTTATATTCTTGCGTGTACTGTCCGTCATGCAATACTCGCATCTAATTGGGTGTTTGGCGTACTTTCAAGCCAGTTGCAGCCATGCGTTTTAAAGCCATCTCCTATCTCGCGGTCTTCCAACAGAAAATGAACATCGAAAAATTAGTATGTGTTTGTTTTCCACAACGATGGATTACTGTTGGGTGGAAGTTACACTTACACAGTCGGTCTTGGAGCTCCTCTTCCTTCCCCGTACTCAAACAAGCCACACAAACACTTTCTTGGTGCTCAGTTTTAGGTTTTGATCAGCGCTCATGTCCTTAGGGGGGACATTGAAGTGAGTGGGCCACTCATAAACTTGGGACTAAGCCTTAGGAGGGGAAGGATTCTGGGAGAGGATGTGAGCAACCATTGTTCTCCCTGGTGTTTATTCCCAATCCTGGGCTTAGTCCTAGTGTCACCTATAAGCGGTTTTTGAATGCCCTGTTTTGAATGTCCCCCCCCCTCTAAGGACAAGCGCCGTTTTAAACATTTTGTCGGTGTATTCATCTATCTTGACTGGCATCTCCACCTATTCCTATTGAAGCGTTTAGAATTGGCGATGGTACATGCAATTGGGCGACGCAGCAAGGAAAATAAGTATCCTCTCCTTATCGCCTACTCGCCAAATCGTGTAATCGATATGTACATTTTTTATTTAACCAGTTTAGCTCCGCACGCAACCGCGCGCATCACATGGTAGGCTTTAGTGAAACTGGACAACTTGCTGAATATTAGGTCACGTGGCTGAGAAACTAACAGTAAGATGTTTGGAAGATGTGTCACATGAATTTCAAAGGCTGTCCAATTTTGCTGAAGATTGTCGCGTAATGCGCGCAGTAGCATGCGGAATGAAAATGGTACTTATCATGACTTCGTAAACATTTAGCATTGATATCGAGCTCGGATGATTTAGCGGTTTATAGAATTTCCACAATTGAAGAATCGGTGTGTAAGTGAAATATAACCAATCAATCAGCATCTAACCGAGCTATGATGGAAATTGGAAATATGATGGAAATTCGCTATTGGTCCAAGTCCAGATAGTTGAGCAGCTCAACTTTCTTTGCTTCTTTAGATGAAAGGGTAGGAATGGAACATATTCACGTGCTAGGGACCTGGTTTAGTTCAACTGAGTGCACGCTCAACTGTCGCTACTTTTCAGTACAGTTGCCGCTCATACCACTTTCTGTCACCTACATTCAACCCTCGCCACCTTGATCGCTTGCCAGTGATAATTGCAACGAAGTTGGAGAGACCTGCATTCAAACGCTCTTATCATTCCTTGTCATTTGTTATCAGTTCATACTGTTCGCAATCGGTGTCCCGGTCCCAACCTCCAGCAACGTGTAGGAGCTAATATTTACTGTCACCACGAAGGCTGCAACGAAATTAGCAGTACTCAAAATCCTAACTTCCTTATCAACCGTTATCGCTTGTTATCACTTTTGATCATCCACTATCCGTGTTCCCGTCCCATCCCCTATACCACATGTGAGAGCCAAGGTTCCAATGTAACCGCGAAGGGCCGCAACGAAACTGGTGGTATCCACACTTTGACGCCCCTTATCAGTTCTTATCAGTTGCTACCACATTCGTTCACTCAACTTCTTGGTCCCCGCCTCACCCCACATATCATACATGAGTGCAAACTCTCCACTGTCAACGCGAACGGTGTAACGAAATTGGTGACATCAACATTTCGACGTCCGTTATCAGCTCCTATCAGTAGTTATCACTTCCCGCCACCCGTCATCAGTGTTCACCTCCGGCCCCCTATATATCCTAGAAGTTTGAGCGCTCTGGGTCCAAAGGGGTGAAGTTATGAATTTCCGGTCAGACACACACACAACCGCTTAGCCGATTATATATAGTAGGATCATCGCCTAATCGCCCGATCACATGTGCGATCGCCAACTATGAACGCTCCACAAAATGAACTGAAACAGTTGGTAAGGTAAATGATTGAAGAGGCATGAGAGTTTGCTAACAAGGCTATGTACGTATTTGAATGAGCATTGGGTTCCCTACAACAATAAAATGGGTGTAAGCTGATGTACAGTGCAGTGCTGCCCTCTAGGAAAGATGTGGAAGGCTTAGTTTGTCAAGGCGGAAGAGGATCCGAAATGCGTTTCTCAATTGTTGTAGACGCACTACCTGTCAGTCTTGCGCTTGGACACAGTTCGAGTAAGGAAACTCCTAACCCTCAGCGTGGGGTTCATAAAAAGAGCAGTGTCTGAACTCACGTGGAGCTACGGATGTCGTAGGTTCATCTAATTTGTGGAGACTGTCATCCATCTCAGCGCGTAGTCGGCTAACCTGTTCTGGTCGAGTAGTGAAAAAATAAACCTCCTGGAGAAGCGTATTTGTTGTTATTGCTGAACAGCCAAGAGACTGATAAGGCACCTTCTATCATACCATGACGAAGGTCATTCCCAATAGTGCGAACTGTTTCTCTAGAGCTTGTTGTCAACAACGATCTGTAGGATGGTGGTAGGATATTACTTGGTTTCGAGCACGTCTGTGTCATTATGGTGTGTTTTAGAGCGCTGCGTTAATCTTGGCCGTAGGCGCTTATGAGATTTTCTTCTGGCAAAGTAGCCTCGGATTAATTAATCAAAGTGCTTGTCCGCAACACTACCACTTCTTTCTAGTTTTTTTTTGGCAAAAATTAATTTCCTCGATGAACAATTTTTCCCTTACAAAAGTGTTACCGGCTTCCAAGTTTTGATCCCTTCAAAGACGAAGGAGCGTGAGTTTTCTCAGTCGCTTTTCGATGAGATAAAAGGAAGGCAATAACTTCACGCTAGACCCGTGAAATTGCGATATGAACAGGCGAAGACCCTTCTACTCTATTTTTATCGGCTTCTTTTTTTTACAATCATATACTCGATATCGGTGAGTTGGGGTGGGCGTGTCACCGGAAGTGACGTGCACTTGATAGAAACTATGTGGATAAGCTGCTTCCAACATACATCGCTGGCTATCAGCAAAGCATGCTGGCAACAGCTTATCCACGCACTTCTATCAAGTGCACGTCACTTCCGGTGACACACCCACCCCAACTTTCGGATATCGACTGTACCTGGAGAGAGGTCGGGCCCCAGCGTAATCGTGGGAGAGAATCACTTTTGGAGCTATCGCAATATGCGGGGCATTTTTGTCTAAACGTGTGCATTCTGGTCAATCGTGGTACATTTTTGTTAAGGTCTGGTTGAAGCTCAGAACGCGTTTGAAGTGTACAGGGTGGTCCAAAATTATGAGGACCAAGACATTGTGTCGTTAAAAACGCATAGTAGCTTGATGGAACAAACAAACTTCAGGGAAGTGTTTGTAACTCTTATCTCAAAGTAATTCCAGAATAGAATTGAGATCTGCCACCTGCCCCGTTTACACGAGCCTTCAGATGAAGGGGATGGCGCGTGCGGTGGCACGCAACTGAGGCGTGTCAAAATGTTTCCAGGCCTTCTGCTCTGCTTTCTTCAGGGAATCAAAGTTTTGTGGGGCATTTATTTGCGCTTGCTCCAGGGTGTAAAATACAGAAATCTAGAGCTGTTAGGTGGAAGGTTCCATTGTAACAATTCTTCGAAAGCAACGAACTCGAAAAATCGCTTTTTAGAGAATTTTTGCTTTATTCTTGGGTGCTCGGTCCTGTAAAAGTCCCAAGTAGACTACTCAAGTGGCTTTCTATCCACTACAGATGTGGAGTCTTTAGAGTGTCTGGCTGGGTTTTCACATCAATTTTTTCATTTTGGGAGTACGAAAGTCGACAAGGGGAGACCTAGTTTCTGCATCTGATAATTGTCCTGGTGGTAACTGTAACTTTCGAGTCTCCGAATTTTCCATCTGTGGTGGTTCCAAACTTATTGAAGAGTTGAACTGTTGCCCATAAGAGCTTCCTGATACGTTAGACTGCCGCTAGATGTAACGTGCCAGAGCCCTTAGTGAGTTCAATTTGAGGACTGACTAAGGTGTTGTCTTTCACTAGTTTTGAGAACTGCATGAAATTTGGTTTCATTAGGAAGAAGACATGTACCCTCTCACATAGTGCACAGAAAAGGAAATGAAAATGGAGCGATACGGAAAAAGGTAAGAGCCAGACTGGAGAGCTGAGGGGAATTAGGAGAGGCGATACAGCCAGACGAGGCATTGACAATAGTTTTAACAATAGTTTTTTAAGGAATAACGTTATTGTCATTTCAAGCATATTAGTAGGTATACACATGGTTATTGCTGTAAAGATATTTCCATTTTACCCGCTTTCAAGGAAGTTAAAATGGTGCGACGGTTTGCGACGCTACAGAACCGTCTCAACGCGTAGATGTTACAAAAGTTAGGAGCAGTATTGTAAAATCGATGGCTTCCACTAGTTATAGAACGCATTTTAAAATTTTATTGGGAAAATTTATTTCGTACATGTTGCTTTCAACAAAGGTTACATGTCTTTTTGCAGTTAGCTTTCGCAAGACCAATTCTGCCAGGATCAGTTGAGGTGCACCAGCCCCAGTTCACGTAGTTGGCGCAGGTCGTAGGATTGTGGCGGTCCTTGCACTCCTGAGAGGCGATTTTATTCAAAACAAGAGCAAAGCTATAGCTGGACACCTACATGAAGGCTTTAAACCTTCGGAACGTACATTTTCAATATCTGCTTGAGTAAAGGTGCTGAGGAGCATAAGAGCGATGAGCACGTAGAGAAGCATCGTCGTTAACGGTTGCGTACCAAGACCAGGATGTCGTGTGCACAATTCGCTGACCTTTTATATTATCATGTATGTGATTTTTGGT